AAAAAAAATAAATTAAGATAAATTATTATGTTTATGTTTAAGATTAATTATTATGTTTATTAATTAAGATAAACATTAGTGAGACTGATTTTCAAAATTCATGATCTCTTAAATTTTTTTACATTATTTTTTAAATACTCTTATTGTTTGGAAGAATAAAAAAAAACCATTCTTTGTAGACACCAAAAGTTAGCCAATCTAATCAAGATAAGCTGTAAATCAAATGACAATTTTTTTTTAATAACTGCTCAAATATGAGCAACTATGACATAATTTCATAATTACTTTCGAACGGAAGAATGTACTTAATTACAATATTTAATCAAACGGTATTTCTTCTAAATTACTAACATTTAAAAAGATTTTTTTTTACAGCATTACAAAAATTTTTTCTAATCATTACAAATATAAAAAAAGTCTACAAAGCTACTAACAAGATTATATCGAATTGCACTTAAATTAGATTTAAAAGTAAATAGAGAAGTTAGGTTTTCCATTAACCACGTATCCCTTTAGTTATAATTTTAGCTCTGTTTAAAAATATGTGACTAATCAAACTTATCTAATGATTTAAACAATTGAGGTATCTTCAGAGGGTAGCGTAAATTTTTTATACGCTATACTTAGTTTCATAATTTTGTACGTACGTTCTTAAAAAAAAATGTAGGAAAAACGGACAAAAACTGTAAGGTTTTTGAAAATGTACCATAAGCTTTTGTTGAAAAGGGGCCCTTATTTGTTACCATCGGTCCAAAGAACAACTGCCGCTTTGTGCCCTCGGGCCACAATTTACGCCCTCGTTACCACTTTGGACCCTACGGCAAAAAGTTTTTTGCACCCTCTGGGCCCAAGCACTTCTCTAACTAGGGCCAAAAATGTGCCCACGGGTTGTACTTTGCACCCTCGATAAGAAAAACAAAATATATGACTCAGGCCAAAACATACAACAACCGCACCCTGCGAGTGTTCATATGTTTGTAATTTATGCCCTAGTGACGTAATGTTCCATTTGGTTTCTACAAAAACTATGATAAAAAAAATTCACTGCGCATAGCTTTACCTACAACTTGATTTGGCAATACTCGCCAGAGCTTCTTTACGTGTACATTAATGCTTATTTTTTTGGTTTTTGATTTCATCATTAATTTGTAAGTGGAAACAACCTTTGGAACCTTGACCTTTGAGCATACGTATTATTGTTTTTAGTGTAATTTTTTTGAATTTAAAAATAGGCCAAATAAAACAGAGAACCGTGGCACTCGTGGAGTCCAAGCACTCTTTTTTTTTTTAGCACTACCTCGTCAATTAGTTAAATTAATCCATCTCTAAAATTGTGGTACGAGAAGAATAAATCATAGAATGAGACCAAAAATCTTAGATGGTGTACTGGTAGATACCTTACTTTTTGCAGTTACAATCAATAATTTTAATTTATGTTTTCACATTGTGCTGTTCATACAACTAGAGCGTTAGTTAAAAATTAAAAATGTGTATTTTTATGTATACATACCTGAAAGGACAATAAAGAAACACAGTAGCTTTAACCACTGAAAAAAAGTCGGCGGATCCTTCCAACCTCGAGTGTTCGACATCATTAACTGTAGGTATGTTCGAGTAGTTGCAAATAAAGTAAATAATTGAGGCAAAAAAAATGTAGACTTTAGCTCAATTATTTTTGAAAGTAAATCGATGCAAGTAATGTCTGAAAAATCCACGACTAGTAGATATACCGCTTATTGAAGTAGAGCCTTTGTACCTTGCTGTAGTGGTCAAACGTAAAATGGGGAAGCCTTACACTTATTTTACAGAGATAAGAGGTGACTTCGTCTTGTCACCTGCTACGCACAGGTGTATGCTTATGATTTGTTAAACAGCAATCAAGCTGATTCTCACTTTTAATCACCTGTCTTTGTCCTAATTTAAAACTTTTTTTGCAGCCACCCCCCCCCCCCTCCGCCGTCTGTTACTAAGCTGCACCTTTTCGTAACTTGGAATTTAAATTATTGTCTATCTATCCGTTGTCGCATCAGTAATAATTTTTTAGTACTTTTGTTTGAATTTTGAATTACCTAACCAATAAAATAAAAAAATCAAAGATTTTTGCGGATGATAAATCTTTTCCTACTATTTAAAATTAACAATGTTCAGGGTGAAGATTTAACAACCACAGATGAGCAGTATTTAAAAAAATTCAAACACTTTTAACTACTTTACTTAAATTCTAATTAAAATTATTCAATCGATTGATACCTTTACATGAATTCTTACGTTTGACTATTTTTTTTGTACAAGCTCTCACAAGACTTGTAATCTTCAAGTATTCTCCCAGATAAATCATAATTTTGAACTTCTTTGCCAGTGCAGTAATATACATTAGATCTGCAATTTTGCAAACTGTTTTTACAGCTGCAGGTGTGACAGATTTTCGTTTCAAAAGATACAGGGTTCTTAATACATCTCTCGAATTGTTCTAATTGCTAATTCTAATTTTTTGTCTTTACGCAAAAAAAAAAAACATATTGGACGTTGATGTATAAATTACGTTAACATAATTTCTTTAATATACCTGTCTACAATTTCTGCCCTTATTTTTTTCCTCGGAAATTCTAACCTCTTATCATCTAGAAAGGGTTATGCTTGATGGTCTGCTGTCAATTCCAAATTCAATAAATTGAGAATCCCATCCTCAAACGAAGTAGGACCAGTATCTAATATTAGTTCTTCTTTAAACTTTAAAAGATTATTTATTTGTAAATGTAATTTGCTCTTTATTATCAAATTTTTTTTCTTAACTATACTTTTTTTTATTATTACATCTTGTTATCCACCTTTCTATGTTGTACTTTTAAAGAAAAATCATAGTTAGTTGATATAATAAAAGCTCTTACTTCTGCTGGACGAACATTCAATTTTGTACAAATCGCTCGTCCTTAAAGATGCAAAGATGAATTTTTATTAAAAAATCCAGCTACCTACACGTTTTAAAAACAAGTATTTTTTTATAAAGTCAGTTAGAATTCTGAAGACATGTGGTTAGAAAAAAAAAATTTACTGTACTATTTTTTTTACAGTATTCAAAATAGTAACCTCAAACTTCTGTAACGTCCAGATATAAAGTATTTACACATACACGAATGCAAACAAACACATGTACAAACACACTAATACCTATATCATTGCCAGTGTACACTTCTTTGATTCTAATTTATTTAAAAAATGTGTATCATGTCATTTCTATACATAAGTATTTTTTTTTATGTAACATTTCTTGTATAAAAAAGTAATAAGATTTTCCTATATGGAAAGTGATGTTTCTCGAATACTTAAGGCACAATTTTACTGATTGTATGCATCAAACACATGATTTTACAACAATAAACATAAAAAACTTTTTTTACAACTTTCAACACACCTCTTTTTCTGTTTTGGACTCAAGCGTGACTCTAACTCCCTTGTTTAGTGAAAAGTTTGTCAAGTGCTTCTTTGGTTGACTGCTTAGTATAAAATAAACTATGTTAATAAATTACTTATTTTGTAACTCAATGAAACAATATTCTCTTCTACTTATATTAAATAATTTATTTTGTTAAGAACTTAACAATGCCTATTATAGTTCAAGATATTATAACCAAATGTGAATTATACTGAACTGTAGTATTTGTACTCAGTACAATTTATTTTTCAAGATAAAAACATGACATATAGAAATGTATAATTATTTTTGGCAATGGCATTTGCTACCTATCACAGCAATAATTTGTAATTTTTTCAACAGTTCCGTAAGGTAAAAGCACCAGTACGTGAACACTTTTTCCATAAAGTCTTTGTTTTCTCATTTTTATTGAATTTCTGATTTGCATAACAACAAAACAATCATTGCGCCAGTAAGTTTATATTTTTTCCTTTAAAAAAAAACAAAAAAGTTTTTCTAGGTCATGTATACAATTAATAAATTAATATTAAAGTTTTTTTACCAATGACCCAGTAGATGAACAGCGTGTTCAGGTATTGGTACCGATACGTTTTTTTGACCGAGTACTTGAACATCCCATGTTAATTAAATGGGAGAGACGTTATGTTAGCTGCCTTCTACTGATTTCTATTTTTTTTATGTATTGCAAATAACAAAATCGAAAAATTTCTTTCTAATTTCATTGGTAACATATTATGAAAACTATAACGACTGGCTTGACATACTATTATTATTGATTAACAGTGATGTCAATCATTTTTATGTGTTCGAGTACTGGGTATAGGTAAAACCTAATGGTACCACTACCTGAACAGTCTCACAAGCCACCTCATACAAGTTGCACAAATAAATAATTTTTTTCTCGTTGAGTATAAAGACTTACTGAATATAAATTTTGTTTTATCTAAAGAACGATCAAAGGATATCAGAAACATTTTTTTTTTATCCACTTAAATTGAAAATAGTTTATTCAAGCTGTTCAATCTACTGGTGCAATTATAGGAAGTGTTCACGTACTGGTGCTTTTACCTTAAACGTTCTTAGCATCACATTGATAATTACTAGCATCTTTTTCAAAAAAATATCTGATAGTTAATTTTTGATTGCTATCCTCGAAAGTATACTGTGATGAACTCTTCAGAGGTACATAGTTTTTCGACCACGTAACATTAGGGGTTGGAATCCCTCCAACATGGAATAATAATGTCAGGGGATTCTTAAAATCCCTTGCCATCACTGTTCTCTCTGTAGCTTCCAAATTCACAAAGGTAAAAAAAGGTGGACTTACACAATAAAATTACCATCAACAGAGTAAAAATAGTTGAGATTCATGAATGACAATGTACATCATAACTGTTTCTCATTCTTACTATTGATGTTAAGGAAATATGATTCTCTAAGTATTTTGCGCGAAGGATATCCAACAAATCCGTAGTATCTTTCCGTCCCTTTGCAAGAGTACTTCCTTCTATCTGATTCACTCACGTTATTGACCGTGAGAATGACTCGGTAAGTAAATTCGGTTACCTTCGATGTAACGTGTTTTCTTTCCATATACATTAAAAAACATGTTTAATTGGTCAAACTGTACTAAAAAACTTGACTCAATATCACTTAAAAAAAAAATTTAGAACTAACTGGAGCCCACTACAACTTGACCATTATCGTCATACCATATGACGATGAAGAAATCATTCATCATAGCAGCACATATTAAAGAAATATTTTCACATTTCTGAAAACTTCTATTTGGTTGTATGATTCCAAAAATGCATTAGCTACCCTATCTGAAGAAAAAAAAGAATTATCTGTGCAATAGTAACTTACGAAAGAAAGTAAAAGATGGATAAAAAACCAAGTTGAACACTGGGTATTATTTAGATCTATTTACCTGTAATGCGAATTTCCTTTGACGTAGATGTACATCTATAGCTATTGCAAGCCTTGCATGTTATTACGACAGATGTTACTAGCTATTTCAGTTCTACCGTGGACTTTTGTTTGAAATTGCTATTTCGCACATCAGTTTCTATTCCCTGAAAAAATTAATTAACGTTCAGAAAATGTCATTTCTATAGTAACATTCATATAATAAACTAAACGTACGAATGCAGATGAACAAATTATTTTTTATAGTAACTAACAAACCTGTAAGTTATGTTCCGTAAGGTCAAGTGTCAACGTTTTCGTCCAATAGTTAATTTTGGTCCAGGATATATTCGACTCAGGATGACGATCGACAAGGCAAACAAACTTGGCAGTTTTATTAGAACTGTAGTAAGATGTGAGGTAAGTTTTGTCAAACCTGACCGTTGGCTTACCTGTAAGAAAAAAAAATCGAATGCTTGACATAAAGTTCCGTATTAAGAAGTAGCATAAGTATTCAGAACTGCATGATATTATAAAAAACCAAAAAAAAATTGTTTATTCCCAAATTTTTAGCCACAAGACGACCGACAATTGTGACTTTCTTATTTTACTGAATACAACCTTGGTTTATGTATAAGCTTTGGAATTTCTGAACAGAATCAGAACTTTACAAATAGAAGTTGGAAGCTTTAAATGTCATGTTTCAATTTTAAAGAGTTTCACAGTCATAACGGTTACAAAAATAGAACCATATTATCTAAATTGGTTAATTAAAAGAACGAATTTTTAGCCCCAGCAAGTATACTATACTATGCAAAAAACTTGCGGAAAACTTTTTTCTCCAATAATAACAAATCAGATCAGAAAAATAATAGTTATTATTATGGAACTAATTATAAATAACAAGATTTTTGTTTATATTTGTATATTTGAATTTATGCTTATTAAACTTACAATTATTAATCACAGTTATATTGTAATAAATACATAAATTACACAACTTTTAAGTAGAGAAATGATTAATTATATTTTGCACAAAAGGAGCATTATTTGTAATACGTACTGAACGTCCACATTTTTTCTTTTAAAAATTCTTCAAGTAAGCTTTGTAATTAGAACGCCAACCTGGCTGGGAATCATCGTCATCAAAATCATCACTAAATTCCATTGAGCCAACGAATGTCCGATCCTCTGAGCAGTAAATGCTGGTGTCATTGCTTGGACTACTGCCGCTCAAAACCACACTGAAATCATTAAATATCTTGTATTTTGTCCTATTGGCCAAACAAATTAAACTTATGTGTTATGTCTATGAGATTTACGATTTATATGGATACAAGAAAATTTTGACTAATTTTGATTTAGTAGAAGTTTTTTTTATGTAGATGTAAAAACTTAATTCTTTCTGTACAAACCCTTTAGCCAAATTACTAAGTGCTTTATCAATAAAAATCTGAATGGACGAACGGTAACATTAATTTAAACTTAGACCAAAATAAGTACATGGACTTAAAATACTCAAATAAGTATTCAAGATAAGTATTAATTAATGCATGTATGTCCTTGAAACCAATAATCCTACTAATATTCTGTTTTACAAACTATGCTGTCATCAACAGTTTTAACTCTTTTAAGTAGTACAACTGGAGTTGTGATTACGAGTCAAGTCGTACATTTAAAGGAATAACAATCTTAAGATGGAAAACAGTTTTTTTGAATACAAAGTGTTCGTCGTACTGAAGACAACGTTTTTGAATTTCAACTCCATTGCTACTTGATACTAGTATACTACTTAATGATATTTTTTTAAATTTAATTATATAATTTATTTGAATCGTTGTATACAAAATTTAATATTAATAGCGATGCCTTATGACTCATAATTCAAAGACATAAAGTATAAATAAATTCGAAGGCTTATTAAAAAGTTTGATAGTTCCATCTCTTATTTTCTCTCGTACAAAATGATGTTTAATATCTATATGCTTTGATCTACCGTGAAAGACGTGATTTTTTGCTAATTCCATCGCACTCATATTATCGTTATAAATTGGGATAAAGACTTGCTTCTCGAGCTTCACGATATCCAAAAATCTTTTCAGATGAATTGCCTCTTTCGTGGCTTCCGCGAGTTACATATATTCGGCTTCCATGTAGATAATGCAACTGTACGCTGCTTTCGCGACTTCCAACTAATCGGTCCGTTAATTAACGTAAAGATACGACCTGTATATGACCTTCGATCGTCTTTATCGTCGGCCCAGTCAGCGTCCGCGAAGCCATTTAAAATACCATCGGTTTTCTCAAAACAAATGCCCAAGTTTATCGTATTTTTTAAATAACCCAAGACTCGCTTTGCAGCCATGACAAGTTCTTGTGCATAGCACGTATTATATTGACTCAAAGCGCTCGCCGCGTAGGCTAGTCCGGTCGCGTTGCAGTTGCTAAATACATGATCGAGCCTATAAGCTCTCTATACGGAAAATTCTTTACGTTGTCATCAGAACTACATGGTTTCGTTAATTTTTGTGTCGAATCTAATGGAGTATTAGAAACATTCGCATTCTCCATACCGAATCGCTCTAAAATTCTTTTAGTATAACCGCTCTGATTCATGATGATTTTACCCTTTTCACGTTTAAATTGTATGCCTAGGCAATGATTTATTTCGCCGGAGTCCGTCATTTCGAACTTTTTCATTAAGTTACGCTTCACATCATTTAGCATTTTCACGCCTCTGCATGCAATTACAATATCATCGACATACACTAGGAGCAGACAGAAGTCTTCCCCCTTTAGAAGTATATACACGCAAGGATCCTTGTGCGTAGGAGAAAACCCCGAATTGCGCAACTCTTTGTCCAAACGTAAATTCCATTGTCTACCCACCTGTTTAAGGCCGTAGAGCGCCTTTTTTATTTTACAAAATTTTTCAACGCGGGAAATCTGTTTGAGCAATTTCTTAGCCTTCTCCGCGCACTCACGCGGTCCGTTCGACGCTATTTTGCGTAATGACATCGCTTAGCATTCTAGCGATTCCATATATATTTTTTTGTCGATATCACCGTTTAAATACGCGCTTGACACATCGAGCTGATGAACCTGTAAATCAAATTTGACAGCCAGAGCCATGATCATTCCAAGTGAGCTAAGTCTCGCCACCGGCGCATGTATTTCATCGAAGTCTAGTCCGGGTCGTTGTGTAAAGCCGCGCGCTACTAAACGAGCTTTCCGACGATCAAGGCTGCCGTTCGCATTTAGCTTATCACGCAGGACCATACGACACTCTACAATTTCGCGATCTGTTGGTCGCTCGTTTTGTTCCGTAAGGTCAAGTGTCAACGTTTTCGTCCAATAGTTAATTTTGGTCCAGGATATATTCGACTCAGGATGACGATCGACAAGGCAAACAAACTTGGCAGTTTTATTAGAACTGTAGTAAGATGTGAGGTAAGTTTTGTCAAACCTGACCGTTGGCTTACCTGTAAGAAAAAAAAATCGAATGCTTGACATAAAGTTCCGTATTAAGAAGTAGCATAAGTATTCAGAACTGCATGATATTATAAAAAACCAAAAAAAAATTGTTTATTCCCAAATTTTTAGCCACAAGACGACCGACAATTGTGACTTTCTTATTTTACTGAATACAACCTTGGTTTATGTATAAGCTTTGGAATTTCTGAACAGAATCAGAACTTTACAAATAGAAGTTGGAAGCTTTAAATGTCATGTTTCAATTTTAAAGAGTTTCACAGTCATAACGGTTACAAAAATAGAACCATATTATCTAAATTGGTTAATTAAAAGAACGAATTTTTAGCCCCAGCAAGTATACTATACTATGCAAAAAACTTGCGGAAAACTTTTTTCTCCAATAATAACAAATCAGATCAGAAAAATAATAGTTATTATTATGGAACTAATTATAAATAACAAGATTTTTGTTTATATTTGTATATTTGAATTTATGCTTATTAAACTTACAATTATTAATCACAGTTATATTGTAATAAATACATAAATTACACAACTTTTAAGTAGAGAAATGATTAATTATATTTTGCACAAAAGGAGCATTATTTGTAATACGTACTGAACGTCCACATTTTTTCTTTTAAAAATTCTTCAAGTAAGCTTTGTAATTAGAACGCCAACCTGGCTGGGAATCATCGTCATCAAAATCATCACTAAATTCCATT